TTTTTTTTTTTTTTTTGAGAAGTAGAAATTAAGTAGATTGCTAGAGAAAAATTTAAATATAAATTTCATTTTTATACAGATTAAATTAACTAATATTGTAATTAAAAGTCTTCAAAAACTTTTAACTTTCAAAATACACTCACACACAGAAACACAAACACAAACACACACACACATATCTATATTTTAGCAAAATATTTGATTACTATACATCATTAAATTATTACACTCTTATAATATACCGCAAATGGTGCTAAAAACCCGCAAAGGAGAATGAATGAGTACCTCTCTCTTCTCTGAGGCTCTCTGGTTTTCAAATATTGGGACTTCACAAATAGAGATAAAAAAAAACAAAAAAAAAAAAAAGCTCTGCAAACTTAAAAAGACAATCAAAATTTAGTCCTCCATTACATTACATTACATAGAAGCAAATAAATCATTGTGACAATGGATATGGTCATGAGCAAGGTGGGTTCTTATTGGCTGGGTCAACAAGCCAATACCCAAATTAGCTCTGTTGGCAATGAGATCAATGTAAGATCCTTGTTATCTTTTTTTTATTTTCTTTATTATTTTTTGATTGCTTGAATATATGGTTATGTTACAAATGTTAGTTTTCTTTATATATGAAAAGAATTATTTTCATTTTTCTAAATTCATGCTTAATGTTGTCTGCATTCTTATCAAGAGATATTTTATCTTGAATTTGACACAACATTTTTTTTTTTACCATAGCATTGCAAAGTCACACGTGCCCTGATTATAGTTCGATAAATCATTGTTTTATGAACATACATTGTTGATGTTCGTTCGATACACTAATCTTCATTCTTCGTGTGTTTTACGCGCGATTAGTCATTGTCGAACAGCATCGAAGGAGGAGCCAAATGGTTAGTCAACAAGGTTAAAGGTCAGCTTCATTAAATTTCCTCTCTCTTGTATCTTGCTCCAAAAAACAAATTCTTTTTTCGCACAAAATCTATCGTATTACTATTCTTTGTTCAGGAAAAGTGCAGAGGCCCCTAACGGAGCTGCTCAAAGAATACGACCTGGCGGTAGGAATATTCCCCCGTGACGCCACCAACTATGAGTTTGACGAGAGCACGAAAAGGCTTACGGTGCACATCCCATCAGTGTGCGAAATATGTTATCGTGACCAATCGATGGTGCGTTTCTCTACAGTCGTGACGGGTTACTTGGAGAAAGGCAAGTTGTCCGAGATTGAGGGGATGAAGACAAAAGTGATCATTTGGATCAAGGTTTCGTGCATAATGTCCGAAGAATCGAAGCTCCATTTCACGGCCGGTATTAGGAGAACAAGAAACCGGGAAGTGTATGAGGTTTATCGAGACGGTATAGGGGTCGACAAATTCTGAAGCGAATTATTGCTCGGTTGGTGTATATTGTGAGAAATGAAAGAAGAAGATAAAAATTATTCTGATTTTAAAATGACTTGATGAGTTAATACAGATGATTATTAAGATATCAATTACTGAGACATTGTAATATGTATTTACTATGTACATCATCGTCTCAATTTCAAGTCCTAGCCTGGAAAAAACTCTTGACTCCTTCATAGGTAGACCAGCAGATAGCAGCAGCTGGAGCATGAAACAACATTCGAGGAATCCATCCACGCATGAGTCCACCGTACCCATCCTTTTTCTTGATCGTCCGTATCATATCCATAATCGAGCTACTTGAAAAACGATCACATCCGCAAACACCCTGCATAATCGAACGAAACCACGAGTTTCTTTCGTTAGTCATCTGTACAAAGAAAAAAGAAAAAAAAAAAAAAACACATCTTCTTTAGCCCCTCGACTCGATCATTTCCTTGAACTCCGGTCAAGAAATTTCCTTTTTTGCACCGATAGAAGACCACTTCTTGATGGGTGCCCGTTTCTAAAGCAGAGTTTTTTTTTTTAAACCCATTTTACACTAAATCTCATCCAAAAGCAAGTTAATAACATTTGGAGGACACAAAAAAAATCCTAATAAATAAAAGGTTACAAACTTTGAACTTACAAGTTACAATTAGCCTCACCTGACACTGCAGTTGAGTCTTGACAACATCAAGTGGAGTCGTCACAGCCGCCGCCAGCCCACCAGCTGCCGCGCCAGCTGTCACGTGAACCAACAAAGTCTCCTCATCATCACCGCCACTCTCCGGCGAGACCGAGCTGCTGCTGCTCAGCCCTCTCTTGGCCGCCTCGTAAGTCGCAAAATGCACGGCCGTAAAAGGCGCATTCATCAAAACCGTCGTCCTATAGCTCGCGTAAAACCCGTTAATTCCTTCTTCTGTAAATACCCTCCTCAAGCAATCACCCACTCCTTTATACGGGCTTCCTTCCAACTGCAGCCTCTGCTTAACCACATCCATCGGAGTCAAAAAAGCATCGCTCGAGACCGTAGCAAACACACCCGAAGCCGCGTGGGCCACAGCACTATTATTCGGGATTCCGGAGGACGATAAGAATTTCTTGGAGGATTCGTACACTGAGAAGTAGATCGCATGGGACGGGCCAGCACCGAGGCCCATTGCTGTGATGCCGCGGTACAATCCTGACAGCCCTTGGAGTTTCATTATGGAGCTGAGGGACTGCCTGAGGTTCAGCAATGGGGTTTTGGGAGAAGAACTAATGGCCTGCATTCGGGTTTTGAGGGTGTCGACAGGGAACATAGCCATGTGCTCGATCGAGCCGGCTATCGAGCCTGCAACCATGAACTGCCAGAACTGGAGCCCATCGTGTGTTTGCGGGTGAAAAACTGAGGTTTGATCAAGACTTGAGGCCATCTGTGTAAAGATCAAGAATTTAGGAAGAGTGAGTGAAAAGGGTGGCCTTTTAGAGTATGATGATATAAAATATCTTGCTGCAAAAAAAAAAAAAAAAACTTAAGAGATGGAAAACAAAAGGTTGTTCTTAGCAGAAAGAGAATGAGAATAAGAGCTGTAGATGATCTGTGAATGCTTTGTACTCCGAATAATATATCACCTTCTTCTTCACCCTCAACTTTTGACAAATTAAGAGCATTCATTCTTAAACAGAGTTAATACAGCTTAACTGTGATGATGATTTATCTAAGCAGAAGATTAACCACATAGATGTAAAACGTGTAATGTCAGTCGATCACTAAGTAAGTGCCAATAGAATCTATTGATGGGAACAAGAAAAAAAGCTAAGTAGAGACAAAAGCAGGCATATTTTATTTTTTTAATCAACGAGTCCTTTTGTAATATCAAGAATTTCCATCGCCATCATAGGTTTTATCCTCCATTTGGCTCAAAAGGAAAGAATAAAAAAAAATCCATAAACTTAACTCGTAACTTTAAGCATTTAACTTCTTCAACAAAAGCAGTAAAAACTTCATAATTTCCAGCAAGTCATTTATTATTAACTTCTCATTCCTTTTCCGAAAAAAAAAACAACGGATTAGACGCAACACGACAAAGAAGAAAAAACTGAACATTTTCGAGATTCGCGAATTAGACTTCGTACTTTTTTTATTTTTTTTTTTACCGTAAAATCAGTATAACACTATTTTTTCTTACAGTAGTGCCGAAGTCTGTAAAATCAGTATAACACTATTTTTCCTTACAGTAGTGCCGAAGTCTGCAGTGTCTTGAGTGAACTACAAGTCTAAAATCCTCTGAAAAGTTCCAGTTTGCAAAAGCAATTTGATCCATCTCTAGAAAAAGTGACAAAGGGACCAAACATTTGTGACTCGGGCTCATATTGCCGAGTCCATTTCGTAAGGCCCAACTAATTCTGGAACGAATGGGCTTGCATTGACTAATAGAATATTACATTACCTCAAAGACAGCGTCGATATGTCCGAGTGGTTAAGGAGACAGACTCGAAATCTGTTGGGCTTTGCCTGCGCAGGTTCGAATCCTGCTGTCGACGAGTTTTACTTTTTAATTTTATTATTCTTATTTTATCAAATTAAATTGCTTTAGGTTGCTAGTTTGCTACTTGTTCTAAGACCTACATACAATGGGCAATTTAAATGCTTTTTAAATCAACCTACTTTTTTTTTTTTTTTTCCTTTTATTCGAACAAAAAGTACCTAATAATATTATTAAATGTCATACTTTTATTTATTATATTTAATGTGAGTGTAAGTGTCCTAGCCCGGTTTGGAATGGATCGCCTTCGTCCTCGCCGGAAACCTGCAAATAACTCTCACACTGGGGGATTTTTCCGGTGACGAGCCTCCGATGCTTAAGTAAGTATATGTATGAGTATACTTGAGTTGAATAATGGATATCGTGTTGAGGAAGAAAGGCTCACCCCCTTTATATAAGGGTGAAATACGTGACCTAAGGCTGCCCAGATTTGGTGAGCTGGCTGCCCAAACTGCCCGTCCGTACTATGACACGCCGCGCGCATGTCAGAGGTGGCGCTGGGCGTTGTCAAAGGTAGTCGTCGCTATCCACCAATACGTTCTCGACACGTGTCCTCTGCACATGGAGTAAGTATTCTTCTGACATTCCGTTAGAGGCTCTTACACGCGCCTGTGACTAGGCCGATCCATAAGGTGTTAAGTCCACGAAGTGGTCGACCTGTTGAGGTCGACTAAGCGGCTCGACTGGTCGACTGATGGATTGGTCGACTATTTGACTAGTCGACTGATGGATTGGTCGACTATCTGATTGGTCGACTGCTGGACTGGTCGACTGATGGATTGGTCGACTATTTTACTGGTCAAGATATGTTGTTTGCCCAGAGTTTGGCTCAGCTTTTCTTGCGGCGTAATTCCTTCGATCGGCTCGACAGACCGGTTTACCCTTGCGGGTATAATATCCTATATCAATAAAAATTATTAAATGTTGGGAAATTTGGCCCAAACTCAATCCTTATCTCAAGCCCGTGGACGTCTGGGCCCAATCCTGCCTGGGCCTGGCCCTTACCCGCTTACCTGAGAGTATTAATCTGTACCGTTAGATTAAAGGATTAAATCTCAATCATCCATCTCACACTTATATATCTCTCCTCTTGCTAACCTATTTACTCTCACTTCTCCCTCTCTCTCACTGTTGCGCTGAACACTATCTCTCTCTGTGAGAAAACACGGCCTCTCTCTATTCTCTAGCTCTTTCTTCTTTGTGATCCATGAGCGTGAGTACCGCAGTGAGTGTCGCCGTGAGTGCCGTCAGAGTGCCGCCATCATGTCGTCGCGGTCGCCTAGCTTCCCATCGCCGGATATAGCCCTTGCGTGGTACTTTCTGGCGAGCCTCTATGGTAAGGTGAGGCTTTGCGACGGAGGAACAAGTGCGTGGCTTGTGGGTGAGGTGCAGCCCAGGGAGCGGGCCGAGAAACCAGGGTCGTTGTTCTTTGACCACCACCGAGCCGCGAGTTACCGAGGGTACCGAGTTCAAGGGCTATCTGAGTCGGGAGTGTTGAGCCGCCTTTTTTGACAAATGAAGAGAAGAAGTTGGGGTTGTTTTTTGTTGAAAAAGGCAGCAACCGAGCAACTGTCTTTTGTAGAAAAATTCAGCACACAAAGATTGAAAAGGGGATGCACTCCCCATCTATAAATAGAGATAGAATTCTGATGAAAAAACAACACATCCAAGAGAAAAGAAAGAAAAGGAGAGTGAAAAGAAGCAAAATATCTAGTTTCTGTGTGTATTTGTGTTATGGGGTGTGAGTGAGTTTGAGAGTGTTTTGTAAAACACGAGTGTATTTTTTTTCCCAATAGATATCTGCAGTAGTCCGGAGACGTAAGCATTATTGGCCGAATTCCGTTATCAATTTGGTGTGTTCATTTTTTATTTCACTTTTATAGATCTGACTTCATGAAAATTTCAGCGTATTTTTCCCAACAGGGAGACTTCAAGTCTTCATTATCCGGCAGATTCCGACTAAACCATAAGGGGTGTTTGTTCTTTTTTCTTTTTATTTACAATTTTCATTGTTGTCATTGTTTAATCTTTCTGTGTGTTTGATTTGAGGCTGAATCGAGACAAAAACGAGAGCTAAAGAAGAGCTTGTATCAGCCCTGGACTAAAAGAAGGCTGTCCGAGAGTCCCGAACACGAGCCTCACCCCGGTGAGGCTGAGAGAGCTTGCATCGCGGTCAGACGAGCTTCGAACAGACGCTTCCGCTGCCAACCCTTGAGTTTACTAATCTGCTTCTTGTTGGAGATTCCAATGCCGTCTTGGGGGCCCATGAGAGACGAGGAAAGACCAACGCTAACCCACACTCTGTCCGTGACTTGCGAAACTTTCTCGAGGAGGGAGACTTTCAGTCTATCCCTATGACGGGCCCTCTACAGTGGCGAAACCAGCAAGTCATCCCGTGGAGAGCCCAATTTGCCGTGGCGCACCACCCCCACTCCGGCCATCTCGCGGCGCACCACCTCCACTCCGGCATCGGAAGGGCGCTCAAAGGGCGCCCTTCCACTTCCAGCAAAACCCCCCACCCCTAGTTCGAGAAACGAGTGGCGAAAAGATCAGTAGTTACTCTGTAGGGGAGACGAGAAACGAGTGACGAAAAGATCGGTTAGGTCAATGCTCCTTCTAATGCCCACATTGAATTAGTCCATATTTATTTCCTTGGCCCATTTACTTCCAACAACAATGCCCAAAAGCATAATTAAAAGTATGGCCCAACACCTTTTTTTTCCTCCTTCCCATTATTTTCCTCTATTTTTCTAATTTTCTTTTTCTTCTTCTTTGTCCTCTTTCATGTCACTTCTTTCTCCCCATTTCTCCTCTTCTCTCTTCGCAGCACCTCAAAAATCCTCCCAGGCAGCAACCGATTTGCAAATCAGATCCCAAAATCAAAACTCAATCTCTCAATCAATTGCTTTCAAAATGAAATCCTCCAACTCCAATTTCAGAATTTCAGTTTCAGTTCAAAAAAGGGGGTCGATTCGGCGGGCGACGATTTCGATTGGGGTCGGCGATTAGCTGCTACTTGGACGCCGGCGAGGTGCAGCGGTGGTGGTTCGTGGCTGTTGTCGCGCGTACGGATTGTGAACTAACGAGGCGTCGTTGTGCTCTACAGCGGGGCTGTTCTCAAACATTTTTCTTTTTTTGGCTCTGGCAGCTCTACAGCAGGGCTATTCTCAATTTTTTATTTTTTTTTGGGAAGGGTCGGCGCCTCTCCAACCGTCTATGTGGTTTCGCCCCTGGCCCCCTACACACCTGAAGTACTATGCGTGCACGTTTCGGCTGGCTGCCCGTCTTGACGGAGCGATGGCCCTCAACTTGGTCGAGCCTTTGGCGTTAATGGAGAGGTCCTTACGAGGCATAACTCGGTTAGATCGGGTTGCCCTCATAACGTTAAAGTCTAAATATTTTTATAAAAGAAAAACATATAATATATAAAAAAATATATTTGATTAATCATCAATCTTTTATTTTGTGAGGAATGTCCGACTCTGTGTATTTTGACTTTTCATCGTCTACAATATTGCGTAATAATCCCAAAACAAGAGAAGAATCTCAAGTTATTGCTATGTGACATTGCACGCATGGTCCCGTGCGTCAGAGTTGATCAATGTATATAATATTAATCTTTATGCGAAAAGCAATAGCGGTCAAGCCTAGAATTAACTAAGGCTTTGCACTAATATCACCACATATTATTAATTATATATGATGGTGACTTAATAATAAATTAATTTAAATTTTGATTATGAAATTGATCTATGACCATTAATTAAATTTAAATTAGTGTGAATCATTACGAGACACTCCAATCATAGTCCCCATGAGCGTGGACTTGAGAAATATAAGCATAAAAATAATTTAACGAATAAATCTTGAAATTTTTCATTTTAAAT